GACGCTGTGTGAGGGCAGCAGGCTGGCAACCTGGGGCTTGAGGATGTGGGAGCAGGTGGGAGAGACAAGCGCCAAAGCCCTGAGGGTGGAGACATGAGCTGGGCTGCTGAGAATGGAGCCCCGGGGCCAGATGGATTAGGAGCGAATACCTGGCAGTGCCCAGCTCCGCCTAGAGCAAGCTGAGTTCTCAGACTCTCGCTTCCCAGGGCATGGCAGGTAAATTCCCAGAGCTGCTCTGTTCTGGAGAAGCCAGGACTTCAGAAACACATCAAGTTTGCCAGGGCAAGACAGCCTCCTAAAGCTGGAAAATGCAAGGGCTAAGTTATGGCCAAACTTGGGTTAAAATCAAACGCTGGGTGACACAGGCTGCCTCGGTGACCTCACCCTAACCATGTGGTTTTGGGGGTAGAAGCCTCCCAGGCCCTGGAGCCAGCACGGAGCCACGATGGGGTTCTGAGGGTGCTCCTCGTAAGTCAGGCTGGCCCCAAAACATTTCTGGGACTCTCCTTTTGTAGGTTCTAAGTAAGAGGACGCCATGGTGAGCTAGATTTGCTCAGGTCACGTGGTATCAAACTCCGGGATGGAACCTTCTTTCCACTGGCTGCTTAAACAATCCATTCAGAACAGCCATGATCAGGGGAAAGATTTTTAAAACATTGGGTCATAGCCCAGAAATCAGTGTGGTAGATCTCAAAATGAAAGAAAGGAAAGGAAGGAGGGAGGGATGATAGAGAAAATAATAGAGAATATTGCAGGGTACTTCTTGTTTCTTAAAACTTATCTATTTGCTTGTGTATAACTGAGTCATGGTAAAAGTTCGTATTTTATTCTGGGCTGCAGTCAAGGATCTGAAAAACGCTGTCCTGGGAAGGCTCTTCTGTTTGACTTGCTTTCCTTTTCTACTGTGTCTTCCATTCATTCACTCTATCTCCACCATCTGGAAAATAAAAAAGAACAGTCCTTGACCCTTTTTGTCCTGAGAATAAATGAGTTAATCTTTTAGGCTTCACCTTTTTAAAGAAGTATCTAAACTGGGGAGCTAAACGTGAAAGGACGCCTTGGCCCTTCCTTCTCTGTGCCTGCAGCCGCTGTCTCTGAGCATGCGCTTTGGGAATCCATCCAGTGAAGATTTCCCTTCAGTCCTCCTAGACCCATAACCATAAAGCATTTAAGGGGAAAGGCCCTAAGAAAGGGAGGCAAACAGTAGGCTGGGAGTGTCCCACAGAGAGCTCAAAGGGCACACTTCTACACGGAGAGCAGCCTCCTGACAACTTCAACCTCTCCATGGGGACAGGGACTCGGGAAGCCCTAAGGGACAAAGAGATGCACTCAAGCTTGGCACCATAGTGAGCAGTTCAGAGCATGTCAGCCACCCTGGAAGAGAATGGCCAGGCTGCAGAAAAGGGAGGTTCGTGGGCTGAGACAGGCTGCAGAGAAGTGCCACACCTGCCCCAGCCACTGACGGGCACACAGAGCCAGGCAGAGGCCAAGACAGCGGGCTCTGCCCCGCCCCCTCCAATTCTGTGAAATGAAGTGCACAGGTGTGGCTAAAACTGGCACCCGGAACCTTTCCTCCCAGGTGGGATGGCCCGGGCAGGACCCTTCAGTTTCTGTACAGATCACTGAGTCCATAACACTACAGTGCAGTGTCCTGTACACAGCAAGCACTTAATAGGTGCGCTCTGGTGCAACACATCAGAAATGAGTGCCACTGCGAACCAATCTGAAGGTCCCCAGGTGAGCACTACCACCCGGGGACAAGGGAGGACACTGGAAACGTGAACCTTGGGAGAAGAAAGGAAACACGTTTTCCACAGAGGATTTAGTGAGGGGTTCACATAGCAGCCTACCTAGGGGCGTTTAAACTGCAGGAATGCTGTCAGCAGGTGTGGGGTGAATGGAGAATGGCTAGGTAACCACCTTCTGGTACCTGGTTAGGGAGAATCAGGAAACACTACCTGAGAATAACAGAACAGGGGAGGAAGTGAATCGCATGCAATTTCCCTTTCTCATTTTACAAAATAACCTTCCTCCTAAGAATAAAGCTGAGGTGGAAAAAAATCTACCAAGATAAACACAAGACGGTTTTGTTATCAAGTAATCCACCATGCACGATAGTAATACTCTAAAGACCAAAATGATGGGTTATTTTGGCCAGGGGATGTTGGGATAGATTTGATGAGACAGACAGGATCTGATGTAAGTCAGAATCTAGAAAGACAAGAAAGACGGCAGTTCAGGTTGAAGGGGAAGACGAGAACATGGCTAGGGACACAGTGAGTGGGCCGGGACAGGATGCCTTGATCACAGTCGTGACATCTACAATCTTATAAACTTGCCAAAGCCAGAACCTCTGGGTTCTCCAGGGCTGCTTTATCTAGACTGTCACCCAACAGGTGAAAAGTGCATGGAAGGAAAACGTTTCAAGGCAGCACAGAACAGTCAGAATGTTCAGAGAGAAGACATAGGTTCAAGCAGCTGTTCAGCTGCTATAAAACTGGCGGCAGTCCTGGGCACCCATTGTACAATGGGGAGAGTATTTTCTACTCTGCCTGTATCAAAATTTTGCGATGAAGATTGAACAAGATATTCCAAAGACTTCTTTTTGTACTCTAAAATTTCGTGTATGTGTCAAGCACTCGCTTTGCTGTTACAACTAACTACGGACGAAAAGAACGACTGCAGAATACTTTATATTTGTCTTCTCTCAGCTACTGATGAAGGTGTATCTTACAAAAGACCCTAGGCCAATTAAGCATCACAAAAGTGAGTTTGAGTTTAACCAACCAGTCCCAAAGGCTCAAGGGACTTCCTGAGAACGCCCCAAGGTGTTGGTTATTAGGAATTTCCTCTTAAATTTCATCCCATGAAAAGCACTGCTGGCTTTCTCATGATGCTTTGGGCAAAAGGATTCTTTTTCTTACTTTTCTTACAACAGAGACTCCATCCATCAGACCTGCAGGGCCCGCAAAGGAGACTTGGCTTATCTTTCTCAGAATAGATGGTCCCTTCCCAAGCTCAGTGTGTGTCTCTTCAGCGCTTTGCTTTTTTAGGTTCCCAGGGAGAAAACTGCCCGGACTTCCCCTTGACCACCGGCTTCAGGGCTTCACTTCACAACTTCACTGAAGTTTCTTCCTTCTGTTCGGTCTGGGTCCTTTGCTCAGAATCTAATCATCGAGAGCTGAGAAAGGCCGGTTATCACACAGCCGGCCACTGCTGTCCCACACGCCTTCGCACGCACCCTTCATGGAATAGTTGGGTCACGCTGGCCAAATCTCTTAGCCTGTCTGTGCCTCAGTTTCCCACCTGTTCGGCCTGGCCCCTTCAAGCCAGAGTGTCCTCCTCTGTAAAATGTAAACGCAAACGCAGTATCTTCCCTGCCCGGAGGCGGTCACCAAATGCGGGTGACCTTGCGGGCGCCGGAGCCTCCTGCGCACCTGTGTGCAGTTACTGCTTATGTATGCCTTCTCCCGCGGGAGAGTGAACTCGAAAGGAGGGGAGCCCCTCTTCCCCTCTCTTCGGGCGTCCAGTGCGTCTCCGCAGCAGCCCTCAATCCCACATCTCGGGACGCACTGCTGATCTCCTCCCCTCACACCAGTGCCGGGGCTGGGGAGGAGCCGGGCCGGGCCCGGCGGGGGCGCTCCTGCGTGCTCACTCGCGGGCGGGAGGGGACCCCGCGCGACGCCCTCCTCGGCGTGCTGGGGTCGCACCTGGCCGAGCCCGCGGGCCGGGTGGGACACGCCGCGGGGGTGGCGGGAGGCGACCCGATCGTAGCGGGCAGAAGGCTCGCTCTGCACGCAGGAAATCGCCGCGACTGCCCCACAGCGAGCGGAAGGCACCGCGCCCCGCGGACGCAGCAGCGGAGTCCCACGACGGACGCAGCGCAGCGCGCCCCAACCAACATGGTGGCGGCGGCGCGGAAGCCGCGCTCGCCGGGGGGTGGGGGGGACCGGCCCGTGGGCGTGGCCGCCGGGTGGGGGCGTGGACCGTGGGCGTGGCTGAAGGCGGGGCGTGGCCCTTGGAGGGCGGGGCCTTGGAGGGCGGGGCCAGGTGCTGGGCGGTCTCCGCTTGTCAAAAGGCAGCAGCTCAGCCAGAGGCGCCGGGAGCGCAGAGCAGCGTGTTCGCCCGCCGGACCAGGTGCGGACCCGGGAACCGTGGGCAAGGGGACCCCGGGCTACGGGCCAGGCCGGGGTAGGGGCGTCGGGGGTCCCGAGGTCTGACTGCCCGGGTGCAAGCACTAAGAGTCTAAGTCTTAGGAGCAAACTCGTTGGCCGAGATCCGGGCTGTCGTACCATGAGGTTGGGACGCTGAGGAGGCGCCGCGGTCCGGGAAGCTGACGCTGGCGCTGGGCTGGTGAGGAGGGACCAAGGCACAAGGCTTCCGCGAGCACCGCGCTCAGTCTTGGGCAGCAGGAGAAGCGTTTGTTTCCTTCCTCTGTCCAGCGCCTTGGCTTGGAGTGGAGGAGTAAGGAAGGGAGCGATTGGCTGTCGAGGGTGCCAAGGTCTTCTGGAGGTGGAGTGCGTGTAGCCTTGTTTATCATCCTGGAGGAGCTACATATGGCCACCTGCGAGGGTGGACCACCAAAGACTTGACACCTGATTGGCTGTAGTCATCGGATGTATTTTTCCTGGAGTTCTTGTCCGTAGATGTTCAGAGGCGCTCAGGGGCAAGCATGTAATCGAAGAGGGGGTTAGGGAATAGTTTCTACTGGGAGCAGGAGAGGTCCGGAGTCTGTGTGTCCTCAGTGACCACGCAGGGAGTATCTAGGTGGGATGCATGTGATCTCCAGGGCCAGGGGACGGCTGCGCGCCCCCCCCCCCCCCCCCCCCCGTGGACCAGAGGCTGAGACCCAGTCAGCCTGTGCTGGGGGAGCCTCTGCTCTCCGACGAGACCGTTCCCCCTCCTCTCCCTCCACCTCCTCCCTCTCGCTCTGTGCGGTGAGTGAGTCAGCCAGCCTCCTGTCTGGGCTCAGTTACAGCCAGAGGGGCCAGAGCCCAGGCAAGCAGTTGGGCAGGCATTTTCTGAGCACTGCAGAAGTTCTTCTGGGCAGAGTTCAGCTCTGCTGCAGCTCCCTACTAGAAGGCGTTCTTCCTCGGGGCATTGGGTGAGACGCAGGGGTTCAGACCCAGAGCAGTGGGTGCTGGGTGACTGGGATAATGCTATGGGGTGATTCCAGAAGGAGGTGACTGTAAAGAGACTTGTGGTAAGTCTACATCTCATTCTTTTTAGGGTTAGGAGATGCAGCTCAGTACTACAGACTTTTCCGGTCCCTCATCCCATATCCGCCTAGTGATCTTGTTAGCTGTCCTTTACTAGTGAGGAGGGCATAGAGAAGAAATTGGAAAGTTCTGGGACCAGCACGTGAAGACAATGCTTTAACCCAGGCTGGGGAACTGGAGAGCTTTGCTGAGGTGGGAATGGGCTGTCTGGAACATGAACTGAGAGTGTTGTACGTTGAGGGACCTTCGCCCATCCCTTCCCCACCCAAGGGCTGAAGAAAACCGTGGATTTCTCTGATATTGGCTCCGGGTGGCCTGCATCCAGATCAGGAGGTGGCAAGAGTGAGAATTTCTCTCTGGGTTTTGCTTTGGGTTTTAGAGACCTTTAAACAGAAAGGAGTGACCCAGGGCACATGGCCTCTCTAGACTTGCTTGAGAAGAATCCAGGCAGGCCAGCCAGGCTGTGAGGCTGACGCAAACTGCACAAAGTTGGGGCATTCACAGTCTGCACCCTGCCAGGGTCCTATGGCTGTGGGTTTGGGTGGTTCTTAGCGGCTATGACCTGGCGCCTTACGGAGAGGAAGGGGCTGGAACATGGAGTGAGAAAGGAGGGAGAGGAAGCACATGAGGAAGCTGTCCTGGCCCCTCGCTCCTCTTCAGCGCCCCATGGGGTGTGTACTACAGAAGGTCTGGGTGCTGTTTGGGTGGCGTGGTGATTTGTGTGTGGTTTCTCAGTCCCCTTCTTTTATTTGACCTCCAAACTGACCTCTTTTGGGGACAGAGTCCCAGGAGATTTCCTAGGCCCCTACCCTCTACTTCCAGAACAGATAGCAGGTGTGCAAAGCCCAGTCCTTCAATGGGAAAGGCTTGCGGCCTGGTGGGCTAGACCGAGTGAGACTCCAGAGAGGAGAGGTTTCCACATCCTCTGGAGGCAGTGGCCTTGCTAGCCAAGGGCAGCCTCTGGGCCTCTGCTGGGCCTCTGCTGGCCCTCTGCTGCTCACTACGCAGCAGTGGGGCCCTGTGCCCGCATGGCCGGGAGGGCCTGCAGGACAGCCAGCATGTGGGTGGGCAGAGGTTCACCGGGCAGCAGCTTTCACTTGTCACTGCCTCAAGTCCATTTGGGACGCAAGTAGAGAGGAACAAGGCGATGACCTGATCGGTCAAGAGCCTGTTGTGTACACAATGCCAGGCCCTCTGAAGGATAGCAGGAAGCAGGTCCCAGCAAACCAAGCCTCTGCTCCCAAGATGATGGAGCCCCAGGAGGCCCAGTGGCTGCCAGGCTCTCTCTCTCACACTGTCCAACACTGAGAAGACGCAATTGGGCTGAACCCAGCTTGGCTGTTCTTCCTAATCACCATGGCCTCGCTTCTAATTATGCTTCTGTCTGATTTCTCTTTAACTTTTTCCAGTGTCAGTCCCCTGCTTTATATGCTAGAGTGACTCTACGATGCATCATTCACATAAGTTCTCCTGAGAGTGAACAGGGAGGCTCTGCGTGGTTGTACCAGGACAGTGGGCATAAACCACAGCTGTCCAGGGCAAACCAGAACGTTCAGTCCTTGTAGTAAACACCACCCTGAGCCCAGCAGTAGTCGGACATGGTGATGCTTCACTGTGGTGCAGGGGGAGGCTTCATGCGGAGGGAAATGCAGATGACTTCATTCTGAGAGCAGTCCCAGCTCTCCAACCTGCTCCCTGGGCTCATCGGCCGGTTCCAGTCTTGTCCCTGAGGGTAGCACCTTCCCCAGCCACCCTGTCTGGGGACCCAGCCTACCCTCGTGTGACTTCCCTTCACCCTCGACTGGTACCTGGCCTCACCTTTGATTTTCCTGCCCCACCCCACCTCAGCCTGGGGCGAAAGGCCTACCAACTCCTCTTCCGCCTCCCCCAGGGGAACTGGGGTTCACAGCGGAGCCAGGACTCATCATCATGCTTCCCCTTCGCTCTTCTCCCCACCCGCATCCTCTTCGCTTTGTCCTGTGGCTTCCCAGACCTCTGCACCTCCCGTGGGAAAGTCTGGCTCTGGAGTGGGTAAACACCAAAAGGGGAAAGGTAGTCAAACTCTGCCCATGTAGGCAAAGGGCACAGGTCAAGATCTAGGAAAAGCTGGGCGTGGTGGCGCATACCTGTAATCCCAGCACCAGGGAGGCTGAGGCAGGAGGATCATAGCAAGTCCGAGGCCAGCCTGAGCTACGTAGTGAGACCCTGTCTCTAAAACCAAAAACAAACAAGCAAAAAGATCCAGGAAAATGGCAACCAAAGTGGAGACCAGAGGCAGGGAAAAGCTGCTTAGCAAGACATGGAGTCTGTCCTTGGGGACGCTGGAGTTTGAGTCTGCAGTGTGGTCTGAGCGTTAGGGAAATGGTCCAGGGTGGGGACGGACAGTTCTTGCTCAACCCAGGCTGGAAGCGTTGGTGGCGGTGGCAGCATCCTGGGTGGTGACATGTAGAAGAGAAACTGCGCCCCCGGTCGTCAGGCCGTGTGGTTCCTCAGATGCTCCACGCAGGCTCCTTGGAGACTCCCCAGAGGGCCGGGTGACCAGGGCGCGGGGCCCCGGGGAAGTGTAGACTCCCTTATGACTGCGTGGTGACTCCTACTCTGTCAGGAAGGAAGTTGTTCTCATCAAGACAAATGAAAGAGCAAGTGAAGGCCTCTTGGGAAACCCCACCTTTCCAACACCTTGTGGGGACGGCGAGGTAGCCAGACTCCCTGCGCCGGCTGGAGACGTGCAAATGGCAGGAGGGAGAGGCAGGAGCGGTAGGTGCTGCAAGCCCGAGTGTGTCATGCATTTACAAACCTGCCCTGCAGGTCCCGTGCTAGGGAATAGAGTAAGCAGTGTTCCCAGAGCCAGATGCCACACAAAGTCCTCATTCTGCGCAGGGGAGAGTCCTGTCCTGCACAGGGTGTGGGTAGCTGCACCAGCGGGAAAGTGGAGTGTGGGCAGGGCCAGCAGCCGGTTCCCGGGAAGCTGCTGCCTCTCACTGGCCTTCAGATGACGAGGTGGAGCTCTGAGGTGTTTTGCAAGGTGTGATACTCCGGGCACCGGAGCACCCAGGAGGCTCTGGCTTTGCTGGCGACACATCCAGTGTGTGCCACCTGCTGGCACCAGCACTGCAGCTCCAGGAACAGCGGCTCTCTGAACCCTCACTTGGTACTGGGTGTCACACTGCACACATTACAGGCACTGCCCCGGGCCTGTCGCTGCCTTGTGAGACAGGAACCACTGCTCTGCTCACCTTATAAATGGGGAGACTGAGGCTCACTGAGGTTAAGCCACCTGCCAAGGTGAGACGCTGAGGCAGGGTCGGGACTTGCACCCAGCTGTGCGGCATGCCACCGTCCATGAAATTGTTCCTTCTTTCTCACTCTTTTTTTTTTTTCCAGCACTGGGTCTTAAACCCAGGGAGCCCTGAGCTACATCCCCAGTTAGTTATTCACTTGATTTATATCTTGAGACAAGGTCTCACTAAGGTGCCCAGGCCGGCCGTGGCCCTACAATCTTCTTGCTTCTTCCTCCCAAGCAGAGCTCATGCTCTTCCATCTGCACAGAACCCTACCGCCCCTGCACGCACCGGACGCACCGAGAGCCACAGGGCACTTGGTGCACCGTCTCGTGTGTTATAGGCCTGCAATTAACGCCTGTGGCCAGCAGGTTAGACTCACTAACCAGTTTGAACAAGTTGACCTGAACGCAAGCTCGGTTTGCCCAAGGGTTACCCTGGGGACGGTGGCATCCCTGAAGCTCCCTCTGCCAGCACCTTTCAACCTTGTTGGCTCTCGAGCAATCTTACGCATGTTACTCAGGTTCAAGGTGGCAAAAAGTAAACAGGAGAACTTGAGAGGCACAGTACTGCACAGAGGGGTTGTGTGGAATCGAGTGAGATTTGAATGATCTGGAAGGCAAATAAACTCAATTTCAAACAGCCACCGGATGAATAACATACCGAGGTAAAAAAAATTAGACCATTGCCTCGTTGGCCGATGAGGAGCTATTCTCACCTTGTCTACCTTCCCCCTCTTGGATGCTGTCCCTTAAAGGCTGCTGGACCCAGCCCACTGGGAAGGAGAAATGGACCCTGGCCTCCTCTGACAGCCTCCCGCCCATCTCCGGCCTCCTTCAATCTGTGCAGCTTCTGGGGGTAAGTGCTGTGATTTCTCCAGGGCGTAGCAGGGGGAAAGTTGAGGTGGCGTTGTTAGAAGCTGTGCCAGCAGCCTGGGAGAATCAGAGGCCGAGTTAGACGTTGAGGTTCAGATCCTGGCTTCACTGCTTTCCAGCCAGTGACCTTGGGCAGAGTTCCTAATCTCTGCAAATCTGCTTCCTTATCTGTGAACTGGGGCTAATAACAGCTTCCTTGTTGGAGTGTGTGAGGATCAAGGAGGTAAATCAAGTGCTTGGCAGGGGCCCCGGAAGGGTACATGCAGGCAGACATTCAGCAGATGTGGGCTGAGGACCTACTATGCGCGTGCGTTGTTCAAGACATTTGAAATTTAACGGTGGGGAAAAAAGCAGTTTTGCAATTACTTTCGTGTTGATTTGCCCAGAAACCTGATCATTAGAGACCCCCTGAGGACCCAGGAATGGCTGTCCCAGCGCCTGGCTAGTTCAGATTTGGGAAGCTGATTTCTCTTTTGGCCATTTATTAGACAGTGAGCTTGGGAAAGTTTCTGAACTTCTCTGGGTCTCCCCGCCTTCGAAATTTTTCATCTGTTACTTTTTAAAAAGGTGAAATAAGTATATCATGCACACAAGAGTATGTAATACACTAACATAGCCATTACAGAATAATATCATATAATGTACTCATCACACTTAATTTAGGAATGGAGGATTTGCAGTATCTTAAAAGCCCCTTTGCCCCTCCCCATTTGTAAGCCCCCCAGTGCCCCCTCCAAGGTGAATTTTAATTACTTCCCTGCCTTTCTTTGTAAATTATCATTTATGTATGTTTTACAAAGCAGCATATTGCTCTGCTCTACTTTGCTTTGAAGTTGACATACGTGTATGCTCTGCGATCACTCCTTTCCCTGAGTGTCATGTTCCGAGATTCCTTCGTACTGGCGTCCATCTGCAGTTCATTAGCTTGCCCGGTTGTGTAGTATTCCACTGCAAAGATATCCAAATGTGCGTGTTCTCCCTCCAGTGTGGGGCTGCTATGGTGTGATAACGCTGCTAGGAACACAATATGCTTGTCTCCTGGTGCACGTGGAGGAGTCTAGGGCGCGCACCTGGGGGCGGAGTTGCTGGCTCACATGGGGCTCCGTGTTTGGCATTCCCGTACAGTGCAAGCTGTTTCCCGGTTATGCCAGAAAGCACTGCTTTCGGCAGTGATGAGTGGTCCACTGTTCCCCATCCTTTTCAACTTGATATGGACTTCGTTTCTAAGATGAGAAGGTATTAGACGAGTTTCGACTGCCCTGGTTAGCTGTGATGGTATAGCCCATGACCCAGGGACCCGGTTTCTGGCTGATATGTGCGCCTGTCTGATGTGCACAGGCGCACAGCCTGACTCTGAGACTCCTGCACGGAATCCCTGGGTGCAGGTGAAGCTCTTCCTGTCCGAGCTTCTCCCAGCAGTGTCTGAGGGATCCTATGGCTCTGCATCCCCTGCCCTGCTTGGTGGTCTCTTCAGTTCAGCCAAAAGCCTGGTGTCGGCACCGAGTGCATACTAGCTGTTCAGTTAACTGAGCTACATTTCTGTCCAGTGGGTTGGTGGGGATACTCATGTCCCTTGGGCCTCCATTCGGAGAAAGGATATGAACTATCAGACCCACAGATGTGCCAGCTAGTCAGAGCAGAGGGGGTTGGGACTAGGATGGGATTCACAGCTCTCCAGGGGGTCTTGATCGTTCCAAGGCGGGCTGAAGTGTAATGGTCAGCACAGATTGACTTTTCAGAGTCCTGTCCTTGGTCTTTGTCGTTTTTTGAGAACCAGGCAGCAGTTTGAGGGCCGAGGTGAGAAGACAGAGGCGGTGCCATGCAGAACGCCTGCAAAGGGTCCCTTTCCCTCCCGAGGTTGAACACCGTGCCTGGGAGTGCTGGGGACAGAGGTGTGAGATGTACCCAGAACCCTGGCAGCCACACAAACGGCCAGCTGCCCACCCACTCAGCCACCCGCAGGACGAAAGAATGTGGCTGGCCAGGCAGTTGCATGGGCCACCCCAGCCCTCAGCTCTGTAATTACCCAGCCAGTCTGTGCCTGCCAGCTCCGGAGGCAGGCGAGCGCCTCTGCCTTGTGCCCTCCTTGGGCTGTCAGGCCTGCGCAGTGCCCTGCCTAGCCTCCGCCTTCCCTGCCACCCCCGTTCCCACCCCGCGTCTGTCCCTTTCCGTAACAACCTTTGACCTCTATGCGAGTGCCGTAGTGTGTGGTAGCTGACAGCTGCACTCACCAGTGGCTATTACAATGTACTGTGTCCCAGTGCTGTGCTGAGTGTTTCCCGTGCATTTTCTCATTTATAGCTCTCAAAAATCCCGTGAGGTGGGTCATCTTATCCCTATTTTAGGAAGAGGAAACGGAAGTTCAGAGAAGTTAAAAAGGGCCCCAAATCACTGAGTTTCTGAGGCAGACCCAGAACTTCAGTTGGGGTTTTGCTCAGGCCAGCGTGGAAGCCCCCTTCCCTTGCGCACTGCCCTTCCCTGCCCGGCTCCCGCTCCTGGCTCTACCCCCTCCCCCGTGTCTGAGGAGGGCTGGAGAAGAAGCGGCAGGTGGCGTCTGCCCAGGGCGAGCGGGGCAGTTCCAGGCTGGCCGGGCAGATTCTGGAAAACACCTTCAGGGTAGAGTTCTTTGTTCCAAACTGCTCTGAATTTCCGGACTTCTGCCAGAGGTGGGAAGTTGCCTCTGCCCAGCCTATTTGGCAAGCACACCCGCATATTGGGTGCCATGCTGTTCAGAAGTGGAGGATAGGCTGCCCCAGGTAAAATTCCATTATAATGAACCACATTTGAGATCTGATCAGCTTTGTCGAAATCCAGAGTACAGCCTGGGAAACTGGAGGCGAAGTGGAGCCTGTTCGCTGTGGGAAATCTCCTAGGAGAGCCCCTGAAGGTTTGGAAGCTAGAAGCAGGAGAAACGGCCAGACCCATCCAGTTCTTCTTGGAACGCAAGTGCCTGGATGGCTCATGGCAGGGCCGAGTGGGTGAGCTCCGCCTGACGGTGCTGTGACCGTCCACGGTCCCACTCTCTGCGAGTCCTCAGACCAGATCCAGTGTCTCAGGGAGACACGGTGGGTCAGCGCCTAGCATGTCACAGATTCACTCGAAAGGTGTTTCTTGGACAAAAATATGCTTGTATGTACACTGCGTCCCCTGAAAGAACACGGAGAGCTGAGGACGACTGCTCTGGGTGGTTAAATCATCTCAAAGAGCTGGGCTGCAGCTCAGATGAATCCTTGCCAGTGATTGTAGCCACGGTGCCCAGGAGGAAGCCTTAGTGTTTACTGAGCAGTTGCTATGTGCTGGGCTAAGCACTTGATGTGAACTATCTCACTGAATCCTCACAGAACCATGAAAGTAGGAATTATTACTTTTCTCATTACAGGGGAGGAAACAGAAGCTTAGAGAGCTTATGTGATTAGTTCCTGAGAAACCAGGGATTGGACCCAGCCGGGCAGGCTGCCTCCAGAGCCTGTCCTTCTGGCTGTGTCTCCCTGACCACAGAGCTCTGCTGTCACTATGGGCTGGGGCACGGGGCTGGAGCAGGGTAGTGAGCGAGGCTGCAGGGGTGCAAACCCTGACATGACTGCTGGAGGGCACAAGCCTGGTCCAGAGGGGTGGCCCTTCTTAGGCCAGCAGGACTGTCCCTGGCACTGCCACCCAGAGTGGCCGCGCGATCCGATGTCTTCATAGGAAAAGGGAATCTCTTGATTTTCAAAACATTGAACATGAACTTGACAGTCTGTAGTCGCTGTTGGGGATGGGAGGAGCAGATGGAGCACATGTGAGGCGGGTGTAGCCCTCCGGCGCCCAGGGTCCTCTGCTAGTTTCCTACAGCGCAGAGTAGGAGTCTTGTAAGAGCCTTACTAGAGGAACGAGTGATTGCTCTCCAAGCATGTGGTTATAGCTCTGTAACCGGTGTTTGTGGCGGGAATGGTATCGGGAAACCTTTCAGAGTCGGGACACCCCGCGGCTGAGTTGCCCCCTTCCTGCTCCCGGTCTTCCTCTCGGTCTTTTTCCCATACTCACCTGCAGAGTCAAGGCTTTCCCCAAAGGTATTACAGTGAAATTCACGTGGAAAAAAGAAACTAACAAGTAAGAAAAGTGTCTCCAGCCAAAACAAAACAGAAACAATGATGACCAACCAGTAGAGGTTTCAGAACTCGGTGAAAGAGGGCTTGGCGCTTAGCAGGCCAGCTTGGAGAGCCCTCTCCGCTGCATGTCCGCATGGTGCTGCGGACTGAACCCAGCTGCCCGCGTGCAGGGTGAGTGCCGCACCGCGGAGCCCGGCCCCAACCCCCCGGCTGTGGTCTTGGCTCTCCCTGGCTGCAGGGACCTCATGCAGCAGACACGGTCATGCTCTGTGGGTCCCTCGAGGTGTCTTTTAACAGCTTCCAGTTTGTACCTGAATTTACGGTCCCTATTACTCTTGAATATCTGGGAGAATAGTAACATAAAATGCATTATAAATATTTTATTTCAGCAGGTACAACACACTTGTGAGATAGCCATGGGCTGAGGCAGCCTTTCTTGGAGACTCGGTTGAGTAGCAGTGATTTCTTCCCCTTCCTTTGCCTTCCGTTCTATGAGAGCGGGACCCCCGGGGCCTCCCACAGGCCCGCCCTGACATGTCCTCCCTCACCCCCTGGAGTCCACAGTTACTCTGAGAGACCTTGACTATGGCCCTCACTTCTCCGAAACTCCCGGCTCCAGGGGGAGCGGGGAGGGGGCCTGGGAAGGGTCTAGCAGACGCCGCCCGTGGCCAGCCCCCCAGCCCCCCCCGCCTGTCACCCTGAGCTATTATTCTGAAAGCTGGGCAGAAAATCGCTCACCCAAGGGAATTATTTTTGTCTCTGTTAAACTTCAATCCAGAGCTCCTGAGGAACCTGGCTGCAGCCCTGTTTTTCAGGTCAGGGGGAGTTCTGGGAAAAGAAGGGCCGGTGAGGTGGAGGGGTGGGCACCCTCCCCTGGGTGGGGAAGGGCCACGGC